TGATACCCAAAAGATGAGTAAGTCTCCACTAACAGGCAAAATGGGGAATAGTGTTCCAGGTAGAGGGAACAGCATGTGCAAAGGTCCTGAAGTAGATGAGAACTTGGTGTGGTCAAAGACCAGAAGGATGACCAGAGTGGCTAGAGTCAGAGGGTGACAAGGTAACGATGGTACGAAGAGAATTTGGAGAGGGGGAGCTGAGGGTCCTATGAAGCTTTTGTAAGCCATGTGAAGGGAGAACAATAGGAAACCTTTGGAAGTTTTTAAGCTGGGGGGTGATATGATACAATGTATTCTTTTCAAAACCTCACTGGCTACTGGGTGAGAATACACTGTAAAGAATCGAAAGCGGGATGAGATTATTCATCCATAAAAAGGAATAAACAGGTCCATGATAAGATGTTCAACATCACTAGTCGTTAGGGAAATGCAGATCAAAACCACGATGAGATACCACGTCATGCCTCTTAGAATGGCCATCCTCAAAAAGACAAGAGATAGCAGATGCTGGCCGGGATGTGGAGAAAAGGGAACCCCCTGCACTGTTGGTGGGATTGTAAACTAGTACAGCCACCGTGGAAAACAGCATGGAGGATCCCCCCAAATTAAAAATAGAACCCCACATGATCCAGCAATTCCACTTCTGGATGTATAGCCAAAGGAAGTGAAAACACTAACTTGAAAAGATAGCTACACCTGCATGTTCACAGCACCATTATTTACAGTAGCCAAGATGCAACAATGACCTGTGTCCATTGACCAATGAATGGATAAAGCAGTTGTGAGATATATATACACATATATATTCACTATATATGTATACACTATATATACACATATGTATACACCATATATATACACTATATATATAGAGAGAGAGAGAGAGAGAGATACACTCTACACACATGCACACACACACACAGGAATATTATTCAGCCATAAAAAATGAGGAAATCCTTATGGGGCTGGCCCCGTGGCTGAGTGGTTTAGTTCAGCACACTCCACTTTGGTGGCCCAGGTTCAGTTCCTGGGCACAGACCTACACCACTCATCAGTGGCCATGCTGTGGCAGCAACCCACATACAAAATAGAGGAAGACTGGCACAGCTCAGGGCAAATCTTCCTCAGAAGAAAAGAAAAAAGAGGAAATCCTGCCTTTTGTGACAACATGGATGGACCCTGAGGGCATGATGCTAAGTGAAATAAGTCAGACAGAGAAAGACAAATACTGTATGGTATCACTTATATGTGGAATTAAAAAAATTAAAAAACCAAACTCATAGAAAACAAGATCAGATTTGTGGTTACCAGAGGCGGGGGTGTGGGGAGAGCCGGAATTGGAGCAAGGTGGTCAAAAGGTACAAGCTTCCAGTTATAATATAAATAAGTACAGGGATGAACGTACAACATGATGGCTACAGCTAACCCTGCTATATGATAAATATGAAAGTTAAGAGAGTAAATCCTAAGTGTACTCACCACAAGGGAAAAATTGTTTTTGCTTTTTCTTGTATCTATATGAGATGATGAATGCTAACTAAGCTTATTGTGGTAATCATTTCACAGCATGTGTGAGTCAAACCATTGTGCTGTTTACCTGAAACTTATACAGTAACGTATGTCAATTATATCTCAATAAACTGGAGGAAAAGAAGGAATGTAGTTTCGATCCGTGCTACAACATGGATGAACCTCAAAAACATTATGCTCAGTGAAAGAAGCCACACGCAGAAGTTCACATGTTGTGCGATTCCATTTAGATGGAGAACCCAGAATAGGCAACTCCATGGAGACGGAAAACAGGTGGATGGTTGCCGGGGACTCGAGGGCGGGCGAATGGAGAGTAACGGCTTAATGGGTACAGGGTTTCTTTTTGGGGTGATGAAAATATTTTGGAACTGGATACAAGTGGTATTTGCACAATATTGTGAATGTACTTAATGCCACTGAATTGTTCACTTTAGAGTGCTTAGTTTTATACTATGTAAATTTCACCTCAATATAAAAATAAAGCAAAAAAAAAAAAGTGGGGTTGGGAGTCCAATGAAGAGGCAGCAGTAGCAGCAGCTGAGGTGAGGCAAGAAGGTGGCTTGGACCAGAACTGGGGGGCTGGAGATGGAGAGTAATGAGTAATGAGCCGATCTGAAGAAGTACGGAGTCTCAGCATCCTTTTAGTTTGGATATTCCATGCAAATTAGGCATCAGGAAGGTGGGAAGAACTTTCCTAGATTCCAAAGCTGCAATAGTCCTTTGCTGTACCTGGTAAGACAAGGGCATCTTCTTCCTAAGCACAGATTGTGGCCCCAGAGCTGGGTTGGGTTGCAGCCTCCCCTCAGCCCGGCTCTGGGGCTGCTGTCAGCACAGCCCACCGTGTCAGGGAGCCCTGACTTGCCTGCCCATCCAGAAAGCAGCATGGTCCACCCGGGGCTGATACAGCCCCAGAGGATGGAGCTGCCCTTGCCAATGTTTCGTGCCACCTAATTTTACTACTTTCCCCAGAATTGTCCCCATTTCCAAGGAAGACATTTATGTAATAGATATCTAATATCCTGCAAAGATCATGCAGAGGATGTTCTTTTTAATTGCATCTGAAGGATATACTACAAAATATCCACTAAATCTTAGTACACAGTCATAGTCATCAGACAGTCACTTGTGTCTGTTTTCCCCTCTGAGCGTGCCTGGGTAGTGAGAGCAGATGGTAAAGGCAAATCCTTGATGGGTAGGAAGCGATATACGATTTCCTTCCGCCTACTCTGATCAAATAGCCATTCATCCTTCCACTTTCTCTTCCTCCTATCGCCCTCTTTCTCCCTTCCATCTATCCATCTTTCCATCCTACCATCCTCTCTTCCTTCATTACATCTTTATATCTCTCCATCCATCCATCCATCATCCTTCCATCCTTTGACCTTTTCACCCTTCCTTCCTGCCTTCCATCCATCCATCCATCCATCCTTCCTTCCTTCCGTCCATCATCCCATCCTCCTCCATTCCTTTTATCTATTATTTTATCTTCCCATTCTCTCTATCACTTTATCCATTTGTCCTCCCACTCTTTCATCCTCCCATCCTCCTTTCTTTCTATACATGCTTCCATCCCTCATCTTCCCATCCTCTCTGTCCTTCATTCATTTCATCCTTCCACTTTTTCACCCTTTCTTCCATCCGTCCATCCATCCATCTTTTAATCTATCCATCTGTCTAACGTTTATTTATATATACGCCTTCTCTGCTCCATCTGTGGCCAAGAGTTGGTAAAGCAAAATGACTCTCTGCAGTCCTTGAGCTACTGTTAAACTTGTGCTGGGTTAGACTTGGTTCTCCTTGTACAAGGGATCTGGCCGCGTCACTTGGTGGCCCAGTGTCTCAAGGCTCCCATCCATGTTTTAAAGATGATAATGGTATTTACTGCCAGAGGGTTTGAATGCATCCTCTTCATCCGCCAAAGGTAGTAGTGAGATTAGAGAGTTGCTGGATGTTTCAGATGAAAAACACAGGTTGGCTTCAATTTTTGGCTTCTTCAAGGGTCTTTCCATGCTATATAGCCACCCACTTAACCTGGTCATAGACCCCTCGTTCTGTGCGAGGCTCTGTGCCAAGCAGGTGATCTCATAGAATTGGCACCATATCCTTCTTAGGTGGGTGCTGTTATTTTCCCCATTGTCCAGGTGATGAAACTGAGGCACAAAGAGGCAAGATCGCTTTCCTGAGGTCACAGTCAGGCCCCAGGCCCTGTCTCCCTGACCCCAAAGCCTGCGAGTTTAACTCCTAAATTGCACTGCCTCAGTGTAGATGCCTCTTTGAATCTCCACCATTGGAAATGTGTGTGGAATGAAATGCCTCTCCCTCCTTGCTCCCCTCTCTGCTCCAACCACAGGCAGGGAGAGCCAGCCATTGTGTGTGCCATAGCAGGGAGCACCCTCCCCGGCCTCGCCACCGGCCCCTGGGAGACAGCAAGCAGGGCTGTCAGCCCAGGCACACTTGGACTCCAGAAAGCCGATGAGAAGCAGGCCTCCTGGAGAGCGTGCCTTTTAGGCTGCTCCTGTGGGAGGCCTCCAGTCTTAAATTAACGCACCTTTCTGGGCGCTTCATCCAGAACTGTGAAAACTTGCAAGGAGGGTTCGCTTTGACCACCAGAGGGCACCTAACCCCCAGCCAGCCCTCACTGGGGCTTTGGAGGGAGGTGGGGAGGAGAGCGCTGAGGTTAGTTTTCCACGCAATGTTAAACCAAACTCTTTTAAACTGATCCCGTAAGCATCTTGGGAAGGGGAGAAATGTTTCAAAACCAGCTCCAGAGGTTCATTGTATTCAGCTGGTGCCGAGCTAGGGGCTGAGAGCTCTAAGAACGAAAACCACAAGTTCCTGTCTTCAAGGAGCCCACGGTCAAGTGTGGAAGATAGAGCATTAGCGTGCACTGTGATAAATGCCAGTCTTAATCCAGATTGGTCACTTAAGAAGCCTTTAACGAGCACCTACTGTGTGCCAGGCTTTGTACTAGTTGCCAAGGACAGAGAAACAATATGGGGTCACTGCCCTCAAAGACCCACAATCCTCTTGGGAGACAAAAACTAAAAGAACAAATTTGGAAAAATAGAAAGTGCAGCCACGGAGAGATATACAGAATATTTTAGGAGAACTGAGAGGGAGCATCCAACCCAGGCTAGGAGGGAAGAGGGAATATCAGGGAAGGCTTCCTGGAGGAGAAGACACCAGAGCCCAGTCATAAACTCACATGGGGATTAAAACACAGATGGGGATTAAGCCGGCAAAGAAGGGGAAGGTATTCCAGTCGGTGGGGACAGCATAAACGAAGGGTTGGAGGAGAGAGATGGGGCAGAGGATGTGGCTGGAGCTCAGTGAGAGGGGAATGGAGAGGGGGGCAGGGCCAGATCAAGGTGGGGAAGGGCCATGGGCCGCCATGTGAAGGAGCTTGGGTGTCCCTGCTCTCATTTTGTGTGTCTATGGATACATTTCCTCTTTTTCTGTCTCCCTTTCAGAGCCAAGAAGAAAAGCAAACCCTTGAACCTCAAGATCCACAGCAGCGTGGGCAGCTGCGAGAACATCCCTTCGCAGCAGCGCTCCCCACTCCTGTCCGAGCGCTCCCTCCGCTCCTTCTTTGTGGGCCACGCGCCTTTCCTGCCCTCCACCCCTCCGGTCCACACCGAGGCCAACTTCTCCTCAAGTAAGTCAGCCCGCCCCCACCTGGGCTGCTGCACCTGCCGGCGCCTCCCCAGGTGCACACTCTGTTTTCTTTCTCTTGTGAAAATGCTCGTGAAACGCTCACTGGACGCCTTGTGCCAGCGCCTCCCACCTGTGCCTCTCCCGCCCCTTTGGATGGTTTCCGAGAAAGGGGGGTGCAATTGGCGCTTCGGAGGTTGACGGGCAGCTGTCATTGGTCCCGCATTCCTACTGTGTTTGCCTGCAGGTGTACGGAGGGAAGAGGGAAGCAGGCATGCACACGCCGCCGCATGCAAGGAAACAGCCTTTTCTCTCCCTGGCTTCTCAGCTGCCCAGTCACAGGACTTTTCTTGGTCGCTGTGGATAAGGCATCTGTGATTAAATTCTGTAATTTTTTTCCCCCGCTCAGGTCAACACACGTAACCTTTGCATCTCAAAGATGTATGTGGGTTCAAGCTGGGCTGAGCGTGGCCTGGGGTGGTTTACATTCTGCTCCCACGAATTTCTGCCAGAGACAAAGTGGTTATTACTCAGAGTGGAAATAGAACTTTCCAGTGATCAGGGCCTGAGGTCTCAGAAGGCGTTTAATCTTCTCTGCCCAGAGGGCGGTTTTGCTGAAAAGACTGGTCAGAGGGGAGCCCCTGAACAAAACCAGTCCTCCAGCCAAGACAAGAACATTTATGGCCTCGAAAGGAGGAGAGGTTGCTGGAATGTGGGGGACTTAATCCCTGGCCCTTCATACAGCCGCAGCGTGGCCACGTCCTGTCGCGGCTCTGGGACGTGATATGTAATGTTCCCTGAGCACCGGTACATGCTGGTCACCCACACGCGTGGTCTCATTTAGTTCTTGCAACAGTCTGATTATTCCCATTGGATAGATGAGGAACTGAGGCTCAGGGACATTAAAGAGCTTGGCCAGGTCACACAGCTGTCGAGTTGTTGAGCCGGAATTTGAATCTGGTTCTTTCTAGCTCCAGAGTATACAAGCTTAACCATTGCTTATGATTTGCTAACCAAGATCCCTGAAATATCCAGCAGGATGCCTTTCTCTAAATGAGAAATGAGGGTTTTTGAACTGTTCTTGTGGAGTCCATGGACCCTTTAGAATTTCGTGAAATCTATTAATTGCCTCCCTGGAAAATTGCACATATAACATTCAACCCGTGTGTCCAGTTTCAAGACTGTTGGGTTCAGAAGCTCTGCCTTAGCCCAACTGGACGGCTGGCCTGGGGCAGCACGGTGCATTCAGTTGACAGTCCCCAAATGTGTATCAGGCGTCCGCTGCAGGAGTCAGCTGAGGATCTGGAACCAGGAGAGACCCATGTGGACGTCAGTTAGGAGTTCCAGAGCCTAGCTCTCGTTCCCCCGGGGTGCAGGCGCTGAAGCGAGCAAACTAAAATAGCACTCATGACACACGTCAACACCAGAAGCCCAGCGTATTAATTTGTCCAGAGAAATTGCTGTCAGAGAGAGCAAGAATGCTCCATGACATGGACTGCGTGGCAGTCAGGGGGTGGCTGGGTGAGCCCAGACCAGGGAAAGCGGTGGTGACATATCACATGGGTGATGGCAGCAGCATGTCATGGCCCTGGAGGGAGAAGCTTGGGTTCCAGGCCCAGCTCTGTTTCTTTGGAGCAGTGTGGCTGACCTTGAGCAAGTTGAGTCCCTCTGAGCCTCAGTTTCCTCATCTGTAAAATGGGCTAACAATAGATTCACCTCATAGGTGGTTGCAAGGATTAGCTAAGCTCATAGATGTCGAAGTCGTCTGCACAGTGCCTGGCACACAGGAAGCGCTTAATAAATGGTAGCTGTCATTATGGTGTTTATTAGCCCCTTTTCCCTAGTTGCATTCACATCCTCTGGCTTCTTGGTTAATTTGAGGGCTGTGGCTAAATGCCTTCCAGTTCACCGCCACTTCCCCATGGCCCTGACGGAGCTGGAATTTACCTTGGCAGGGTGCTGGGCAGCTGCCTCCAACTGCCATCTGTCTTTGGGCATCTCCATCCTCTGAGCGAATGTCGGCATGGCCACCCGTGGGGCTTGGACCACAGCTCTGCACTGTAGTTCTGGCCAGAGCAGAAACATCTCTAGCCTGCATGAAAACCACGGACTTGCACACATAGCCGCCTGTTCTCCTGCCGAAGAGTTTTGTGAGGATTCCCCATGGCTCCCAGCTTTTCGTCCCTGCCCTGGTCTCCATCTGAGACGGGAGGCTTCCTTCTCTACTTGTCTGCAGGCAGGAGCAAAGTCCTTAATTAAAATCAGCTCCTGGCAATAAGAAAAGCACAACTGCCTCTCTGGACAGTCCTGGTCTTTGTGTGCAAAGAGATCACCCTTTGATCTCCCAGGGAGGAAAAAGTTAGCATTTGAGTCTCAATGGGAGAATGAGCCTGTAACCCAAATATTAGCTGGGACCCCATGGACCAGTCCCATTTCCATTGATCCTAACAAATAGCAGAGACAGGGGCAGCCTGGTGAGACAGGCTTCAGATTAGGACATGAGAAGCTCTCTGCCAGAGTCTCAGTGTTGCCACCAACTGCTGTGTGACCTTTGTCCCTGACTTGTCCCACTTAAGACACCACAATCTTTGAGGCTGGCATTATTATTCCCATTTTACATGTAAGGAAACTGAGGCTCGGAACGGTGAGTGATCTTGCCCATGTTGTAGGTTTTGTATCCAGATCCAGTCCTGCCTACACTTTGTCTCTTCGGTGAAGCGAGTTCCTTTCTTTACCTGGGTCTCAGTTTCCCCAACTGTACAACAAAAGACTCCATGGGGGTCCATTCCAGAGCTTAGAGACTCTGAGATTCCAAGCCTCACCCAGTGAGCTTTTCCTGGGCACGTCTTTTGCCTCGCTGCGGATGCTGGTTTGGGAGACTCCGGCAGGGCTGTTGGGAGAACACAGCTGCCGGATGCTGGTTCCCCCTTGTTTGTAATAATCGCGTCCTCTCACCACTGTGAGTTTCAGGAGAGAACTTCCTGCCTCTGGGACCCGGTGCCAGCCCTCCTCACCCTGACCCTGCTGAGGGAGCCCCTGAGGCTGCGTCCCTGCCGGGCTGAGTCTGTCTGCCCGTTTGTCACTGTCAGCTCTGGCCCGGGCTGCACTGTGAAGGCTGGTGATACATATCTTGTTAGCCCTGACACTAATGCCTGGAGACAGCATTAGGCGCATCTAGCTGTATAATGGCCGAGCCCTGGACCCTCAGGGTGCCTAGACACCTCGGATGGGCTGTGAGAAGGACTTCGCCCCCTTGGGACTTACCCCACTTCCCTGGTCTGGGGGTGACGAGCCGGGGAGAGCAGGGGGTGCTAGGAGCCCCAGTTTACGAAGGAACCTGTCTCTAAGGTTAGCCATTCACAAAGCACAAGATATCAGACTCTGCTGCTCAGCGTGGAAGATGCTGACTCAGGATGCTTCCCAGAGAGGGAGCGAGCAGTGGACTTAGCTCTCCATCCTTCCTGCATTTATTCCGTGTTCCGTTCAAGCGTGCCATGTTGCTCCCGAGACGTCTGATTGGATGCCTTCCACCCATGGACCATTTTTGGTCCAACAAGCTGTGTGCTTGTGGCTTGTTGTAGGGTATCTCTGATCTCAGTTCAGAATGAAAAAACACCGTTTAGATGGAAGGAGTAGTTGTGCATCCTCATTCCTTACTGGCTGGTGGAAGTGATTTTGGGTTTATAGCAAATGTGTGGTTGCTGACATGTCATTGGGCAAGTCACCAAACCCCCTGCGCCTGTTTCTACCCAGCAAGGATGTAGAAGGGACAAAATGAGGAATGCGTGTAAATTTCCTAGCACAGAGGCTGGTGCTTAGAGCGCTGAGTCCTGATGAAGGGTATCTTTGGGAGCTATTGCTGTACTTTATGTGGTGGAATAGCTTGTAACAATGATGAAAATGATGACAATAATAGCAATTGGCATTTATTGTGCGTTGACATTGTTCCAGGCCTCGTCCATTCAGGCAAAGCAATTTACTTCTATTATTTCATTTAAGTTTCACAATCCTCTATAAGGTAGGTACTATGATTATCCGCATCTTACAGATGAAGAGACTGGGGCTGAGAGATTAAGTAACTGAGCCAAGGTCCCAGGTCAGGAGGGAAGTGGCGTTCGTACTCATCCTGAATCACCATTTCGCAGTGCTGCGGAATGAAATCGCAACACGGTCTTCCCTGAAACCTGCTCGCTCATCGAGTTGGGACTTGAACTTGTTCAAGTTTCCTCTCCGCGCCCTCACCCAGCTGGGGGATTGTGTTGTGTGGGACAGCCTCGCTGCAAGGATGCCTCTTGTTCACCAGCGAGCTGTGCTCGCTCACGAGCAGAATGCACACTGGCTAAGCGATTGTTACACCGCCGGACTCTGGCGTTGATATTCAGGGCATCCATTGTCCCAGGTGGTAGCCATCTCCCTGGGGGCCAGGCAGCTGCAGAAAGCCGCCAAAAGAATGAGTCGCAGACAGCTTCTGCAACTCATTCATTCTGGACGTCTTTGGCAGAAGATGAGGAATGACACGGTGCTTTTGCCACCTGCAGTTTTCTGGGTGTTTCTTTATTAGCTGCCTCTGAGGGTCAAGCCCCTCAGGGTAGCAGCTCCCAAAGGGAACAAGGACCCATGATTCCCAGACTTCTTCATCTTGGTCCTAATGGCACCAGCTGGAGTTTTGTATGAAGCCCTGGTCTTCTGAGATACTGTCCTTCACGAGGCACCTTGAAAGATGGCACTCCCTCACCTTGACCCCTCACCATGCCCTCTCCTCATCTCTTCTCCAAGCATCTCCCGTTCTTTGTCCTGGAGACAAGGTGACAGATAGTTGACCCTCCGTTGAGGGCCTGGCTCCGTGTGCCTTGAGGCTGAGTCAGAAGCCTGATTTGTTGAGGGAGGCAGCACGTAGCAGTAAAGACTGATGAAGCCAAACTGCATACTCCCAAGAAACCAGCCACTGGAAGTTATAAAGAGCCTCAGGATGGGGGTGATTATATAATGGGGTTTAATGAGGCT